GGTGAGTTTGGCGAAGCAACCCAGCTCGTTGTTATTCTCGAAGCTGGCGCGGACAGCCATGGCCGGGCTGGGGACGGTGCTGGAGTTGGAACTGGAACCGGACACTGCGACGGGGACGCGCCCAGCTACTTCCAGGCGCCGCGGCCTCTGCCGGACACACGCGGCAGCGCCTCTTCCGCTTCCGGCGAGCGGAAAGCGCGGGGCAGAACGGCCCCGGCCGCGCCTGACGGGAACAGCGCCCCCCAGCGGGCGGGAGGCGCAGCCACCCAGGCCGCCGCTGCTATGGAGGGGTTCGTGGGGGACCCTGGTGGGGCTGCCCCGGCCCCGAGAGGGCTCTGTCGCGACTGGAGATGCCACCATGGGCCCGGCCGTGCCATTACTGTCTCTGTGCCTGGACACATCACCTGTGTGCTGACAGAAGCCGTGTCCAGATGCTACTCGTGTGCAGAACCTGTCTCCGAGCACCACCTTTGTGCTGACACCATCTGTGTACAACAGCACCTGGTTGCAGACGTGTCACACGTGTGCACATGACACCCGTGATCCAGATGTCACCCGAGTGCCTCAGCACTCATGTACAGGGGCCACCTGTGTCCAGGCATCACCTGTGTCAGCTGCCGCCCGTGTTCAGGTATCAAGACACCACCCACAGAATCACACAGAATCCCAGACCGTTAGGGATTGGAAGGGACCTCCAAAGCTCATCCAGTCCAATCCCCCTGCCGGAGCAGGAACACCCAGATGAGGTTACACAGGAAGGCGTCCAGGCGGGTTTTGAATGTCTGCAGAGAAGGAGACTCCACAACCTCTCTGGGCAGCCTGGGCCAGGGCTCTGTCACCCTCACTGAGAAGAAGTTTCTTCTCCAATTGAAGTGGAACCTCCTGTGTTCCAGTTTGTGCCCATTACCCCTTGTCCTATCATTGTTTGTCACCGAGAAGAGCCTGGCTCCATCCTCGTGACACTCACCCTTTAAATATTTATAAACATGAATGAGGTCTCCCCTCAGTCTCCTCTTCTGCAAACTAAAGAGCCCCAGCTCCCTCAGCCGCTCCTCATAAGGGAGATGCTCCACTCCCTTCATCATCTTTGTAGCCATCACCCATGTGGTGATCCCACCCGCACAGACACCACAACGTCAACCCCATGCAGATGTCAGCCATGGCACAGCTCAGCGCAGAGGGGCCCTGGCCAAGCTCGGGCGCTCACCTCCCCACGAGGGACCCAACAGCTCTTTCCAGCAGAACAGCTCCTTTATTTTCAATGACTTTACCCTGCGTTTGACCACTTCATTTCCAGCACATGGATACAGGGAGAGCAATCGCTCAGTACAAAGACAACCTGGGTTCACCGTGAAGACCTCAGTGGCCAAACAGTTTCCAGCTGTAGCAATGGTTTTGCTGTAAGTTTGGGGGGAAATGGTTCTTTCCCAAATGAGTAACAAGAATGGAGAAGCGTGGACTATGTTTATATAAGTTTTTCTCTTCTGCCATGATCTTGTAATTGAAATTTCGACTGTACTTGCTAATCTTATCTGAACCAGTCATCTGCATCTATTAGAAACTGCACAGACACCTTTTAACAGGAACAACCCTAATCTGCCACCCATATTTTGATTTCAAGCCCCAGATATGCTGATTGGCGGGGAAAAGCAACCACATGAAAATAAGACCAAAGGACACTTGGAGGCCCAGATCAGAGTTCGAACCGACTGTGTATATGTTTAGTTTTTAACTTGTTGTACTTGGTGATCAGATCCAGCTTACTGTGCCCGAGAGTCAATCTTTTCTCAGCCCCGTATGCGCTCCTCTTTTCCATCAGCGTGTCCTCAGCGAGTTTATCATAGCAAGGAACTACCGGCTTTTTATCTCGTTTTGGCTGGTTGTAAGGGGGCAGCAGGTCCAGTTTTCCAGGTCTAGGACTCTGTCTTTTTTCCATCCCATAAAAAGTGGTGTCATTTTCTGCTGTCAGTTCCCTGGAGGTAGCAGCAGGCCCCTTCTGCTTCACGTTTGTCTCGTTGCTACTGGCACCCTCTGAAAGGGACTGCAAAGTCTGCTCCTGTCCTAATGGGGAGCCGCGGCTGCTGTCAGCCTTACTGTCCCCTTGAGAACCAGCTTTATTGGAGCTCGGCGCAGGGGAAGGCTCTGGCTGCAAGAATGTCCTTGCTGTCACGGGATTTGATTTGTGATACAAGGCTGGCGTGGATTTATTTGGAGGGGTGTCGGATGAGTCTGGTGGCTCCCCTTGCTGCTTCGGGCAAGTGGGCTTCAGAGATGTGTCTTTCCTCCCCTTTTTATTATCAGAATCAGAGCTTGAATCTTGCTTTTCCTGCTGCTTATTGCAGCTGGAGTTTTTCAGAAAGGGAGATATTTTTACGGTTCTGATGCTTACGTTGGAAATGCTGCTGGAGGGGCTCGAGCTTTCAGCATCGTTCACCTGTGGGGGTTTTAAAAGGGATCTGGCAGCTTTCGAGGTATTCTGAGAAGAGGGGCATGTCCCAGGATCTGGCACACAGAAGTTGGTCACTGCTCTGGACTCTGCATACAAATACCGGAATTCCTTGTCAAACTCTTCAACGATGTGACCACGGAAGTGAGTCACCAGGTTGGTGTGGACTTGGCTGCAGAGCCAGGTGAAACTGCGAAAAAAAAACCAACAGACACATGTAACTTTAGTTCACAGAGTGCCAAGGTACCCAGCATTGATTTTAACATCCGAGTGGTGCATTGATACCCAATTTATGTCATTAAAACTTTCTCTGAAGTATGTAAGTCCAAAATTACTTGCAGAAATGAATGTACCCATCACATAATTACAAAGGAATAACCATAAAATGGCAATTTCATTTTAGCTTGGTGATGTAATGAACCGTATGAAAATATAAACGATGAACAAGAAGCAGATAGATGGTAACAAATTGGCAGGGCCAGGTAACATCAACCCAAGATCACCAAAGGAATCAAGGCTGATGTTATCTCTCACTTGTAACTAACCAAGATGTGTTATCTCTCACTTGAAAATGCCTTCGTAATCAGAAGAGTGGAAGGTTGCTAATGTGATACAATTTTTTTAATGTTCCAGACCATTAAGCCTCACAGCTGCACAGCACAAATTAGTAGAGACTCTTCTAAAGAATGCAATTAATGGCCAGATAGGTAAATATGATATGATAGCAAAGGCAGGTTGCACAAAGGGCTTTTTTCCACAAAGCTGTGAGAGTTCTTTGAAGAAATGCAAGAGTCCAGACAGGTGAGATTTCATGTAGCCTTGATCAACACTGTCAAAGTCCCAGGGGCACTGCCTGGCTCCCGTGAGGGCTGGTGTTCCCGTCCACGTTGCTCACAGCTTCAACACAGGAGTGCTGGGTCTGCACTGCACGGTGCTTCGACGTACCCCAACTCAGGGCTTACTCCACTCACAAACACTTGTGTTCACCTGAACTCCCCAAAACCAGAGGGCTGAGCACCCTCTCCTCTGGAGGGGCAGGCATTCGAGCATTGAGCTGCGAGAGGACCCTGGTCAGCCAGGTGGAGGAAAATGCCATCCCGGTTCACCCAGCCTGACACCTCCATTGCCAGCAAACCTGGAAACAGGACTGTGCAAATGGGGATGTTTGTCCTCCTTCTTCTGGCTAGGAGGACTCATGTCTCAAACTCAAACAGTCTACCAGGACCACCACAACAGGCCCAGCCAGCCTTTAGGCCTCACCTTAGCAGGGGGTTAACAACAGGTCTTGCTTACGTTTTCCTTCCCTCCTTGGACTAAGTGACTTTCACCTTCTGTCTTCCCCCAGCACCCAAGTACAGACACGCACAGGATGGACACCCCCAGCCACCTCCTCTCATCCACGTGAACTGTCCTTTCCCTGCAAGGGGAGCAGCCTCAGGAGCAGCAATGCGCTCCCCTGGCCTCATGACTGTCCCTGCCACTGATGCCTCTTATGGTCCTTTCCCCAGTCCAAGCATTACTGTGTCCCAGTTTCCCATGTGGATCCAATGGCGACCTGTCCACTCTGTGCCACAACAGGACCTGGAAGGAATCACAAAAGTACCCCCAGTGGCACAGCTCTCCTCCTTTCCATAGCACAGGTTTCCATGATAGGACGATGCGGCCTTGCCAGCCATGGCTCTTCCCATCACTACAGACAGATAAAGGTCTTTTCCTCCATGGATGGCATGGAGAAAATAGCCAGGGAATGATTGTTCTTGGTCTCTTCTGGTATCAAAAATGAGGCATTGAATGAAGTTAACAGATTGCAAATTCAATGCAGACAAGAAGAGGTACTTCCTTGCACAACACAACACGCAGGCAAGTTGTGGGGCTCCTTGCTGCAGGCCACTGTGGATGCTAAAAGTTCGTGTGAGTTTCTAAAAGTGGTAGGATTTTCTTGCCATTATTTTTTCCATAACAAACTCCTGCACACAGAGATCTCATTTCCAGTTCTGAATCACCCTAAGGCATAAATTACAGAAGTCTCAGAAAGGATCCCTGTAGGATGGGATCCCTTCCCTGCCTTGCTTTCAGGGACACCCGTGCAGCTCAGCCTTCTGCCAGGAGATGGAGGTACAACATCACCTCCCAGGCGGTGGGAGACGTGTGCAGCATCCCTGCCCTGGTGCTCTGGCACTCATTACTAGACCTTTCATTTCAAGTGACATTTCCTTTGATAAGATGACAACAATCTGACTTTACTGCAGTAAGCTCCTCAAGCTTGCTTCCAGTGCACTTGAAATCAGTTCCAATCTTCACTTTTCATCTTCATTTTGATTAAAACCAGTGCAATATATCCAGTTAATTTGGGCATCCCATCTCAGTTATTTCTTATTCACCCTTACAGCAGCATGCCTTGTCTCTTTCTTCTGGATCCACTTTTTCAGGTGTATTGATACACCTGAAGATTTCTTCCTCTTTGCTTTGGTGTGCTCCACAGGATCATACACAACTCATCCTCTGGCAATGCTCCCTTTCTTGCTCTATGTACCAGCCTGGGCTTTCCTTGCTGATACACTTTGCTTTCCATTCCTTATGCTTTCCATTCCTTATGCTTTCCATTCCTTATGCTTTCCATTCCTTATGCGCTCACTTTCTGATTAATTACAATTTCTTTCTTCAGGTGACTGTTCATCGAGTTAAATCTGGAACTCACTCTTCAAAGCTCTTTCCTCTTGCCTGGGACATGGATACCTGAGAATGTGAGCACCTTCCTTTTACATAAATGCCAAGCCTCCTCCAGCTTCAAACCCACGTAGCTTTACCTGTCCATTACCAAACACTTATGTGCTTAGTTTTTTCTTCCTCTGTACTCAAGCCAGGTGAAAAGCTTTTGTAATCCTCTCAGCTTCCTCCTCTCATCTTTGAGTTTCAGTTGTCGTGTTGGCTCCAACCCCAAATCTCAAGTTTCTTGCACTTCAATATAGCAAACGATGAGCTCCTTCCTCCCCGTGCCATTGGTAGACCACATACTGATACTTCAACCATCTTCTATTTTGAGCTGCAAAATTTAATCTCCTCTAAGGCAACTCAAACAGCTACGTAACTCCCTTTCAGGGTGAAAATACCACCTCTTTTCTCTAGTCCTAACCTAGCAAATGTTTACTCAGAGTTTTCCTGTTCAAGATCCTGTTTAGCTCTATCCCCATTTGCCCTTGGGCTCCTCTCATCTGCTGCATTAGTAAATGCCTTCATATCCTTCACTTTGTTATGTTAAATAAATGCTCAAAGAAACACGCTATAAAAGCAAGAAAAGTGTATTCTGATAAAAGGGCAGACTGGAAATCAGTGATACTTGGGTAAGAAATTAGAATTGATGAAGAACATCTGAACAAATAAAACTGTGTCTAGAAAAGTGCTGGTGGTAAACAACCAGCTCAGATACAAATGTTTACATGCATACATAAATTTTAGAGCCACAGATGAGAGAGATGTTGTGAAATACCTGAGCTGCAATGATGGCTCTGACACAGGAGGCATCTCAGAAACTTACTGGGTAGGAGAAAATCAAGGAATAGCGTAACTACAAGGGTAGAAATCATACAGAAAGGACAAGCAGAGGATACCTTGCTGGGGCAGTGGTACAATATGTTAAAAAAAAAAGTCAAAGAAGGTGAATGATCCATCAATGAATGAAATATGCTCCTGTTGGATTAAAATTCCACTCCCAGATACAATAACCACAGTATTAGGTCTATACTGTGAACTTTCTGAGCAGAATGTTGAAGGTAAACACGCCATGGTAAGGAAGAGCTGAGAGGAGAAGGCAGAAAGCAGAGGAATAAGGGGAGGTTCAGTTATGGCCACATTGAATGGGGGCCATTACCAGGAGAGTTGCACAAACTGCGTTTGAGCCGCTATAAATGACTGCTTTTTAGAAAAACTAACCAGAAAACCAACAAAAGGAGAAATAACATCACCAGTTCAGAAAGTTTCTTTGGAAAGGCCACTCAGCAAAAAAATAACCATGACGTACCCATATCAAATATTCTTTCAGGCCCAAAATAATTCACAACAGGAATACTTAACTTAAAAGAGAAAGTGAGGAATGCTATTAAAAAGAAATGTAAAAGAGTAACAAAAAAGGTTAAATGCTTGAGGCAGCATGAAGATTGTTTAAATATGCTGTATTAGAGTCTCAGAGAAAACGTACCTATCAAAATAAAGAGATTTTAAACCATCCAAAGGTTGGATGTTGCCTTTAAAAGGCACATTAAAGGAAAGTATTAAAGTAAACAGCCTTCAAAAACTGGAAGTCAGCAATTTTCCAATTATTACCCAGCGAATAACCTATCATTTCAAATTGAACATAGTAGCAGAGGAATGGAAAGTAGTAAATGTGAACCTTTTAAAGAGCTCCTGACAAACCAAAAGCCAGCCGGTCTTATTTCCATACTGAACAAACTGGTAGAAGCAAATAGAGAGTAAAAAGATTAGATGCATAAATAACTATAATCATAATGCTGAAGACTCAGCGTATTTCTGTGGAAGGAAACCATGCCTCAAAAGCCTCTCGCTGCTCTTTGAAGGAGGCGGCGAGCACACGGATGCGTGTGATCTGCTTGATGCTGGATACTTGAATTTTCAGAGATTTTGACACGGACATTCAGCAAGGACTCTCAGAAAAATGATGTGGTCTCAGAGTACAAAGGAAGGGCTTCCCGAGGAGTAACAGTTGGTTAAAGATGGGATACAAATGCTAGCAACAGTTTTAATTTACCCACTGGAATCCCACAGGTTTTGTGCTGGGATTGCTGAACATATGCAGAAAAGTCCTGAAAAATGGTAGAAACATGTCAGACCACATGGCATGTACTCCATGTCAGAGTATCATGGGTGGCCAAAAGAAAACGGGGTAATTAGAAGCTGCAAGAGGATCTTACGGTAAGGGGTAAATAAGTGACTAAATTACGGTCAATATTCAATATCAATAAATTCAAACTGCTGCAAAATCCCTGAGGGTCTCTGTATATTGATGACTTCTCAGATCACAGAATATGAGGAGTTGGAAGGGACCTGGAAAGCTCCCCCAGTGCAACCCCTGCCACAGCAGGATCACCACAGCAGTCACACAGGAACACGGCCAGGGCTTTGGGTGTCTGCAGACAAGGAGACTCCACAACCTCTCTGGGCAGCCTGGGCCATACTCCATAACCCTCACACTCACAAACTTTGGCCTCATCTTCAGCTTGAACCTCCTGTGCTCCAGCTTGGGACCACTGTCCCTTGTCCTGGCATTGGACATCCCAGAGCAGAGCCTGGCTCCTTCCTCCTGACACTGCCCTATCCCAATGGACCCCCAGGAAGGAGGGCACCCCTCAGTCTCCTCTGCTCCAAGCTCAAGAGCCCCAGCTCCCTCAGCTGCTCCTCAGCAGGAGATGCTCCACTCCCTCCAGCATCTCTGTGGCTCTGCTGGACTCTTTCAAGCAGTTCCTGTCCTTCTTGAGCTGAGATATTGACACTTAGGAAAGAGGCCAGGGTTCCCATAGATCAGTGTTAAGCTACATTATTCAATATTTTGGTAACGAATATTTTCTCAGCGTCACCAGTCCTTGTCACAGCAGCTGCTACTTTTTCTTACCTGTATGTACCAGCCAGAACTTGGTCACAGTCAATCAGGATGAACTTCTCCAGAACCTGACCTGCAAATTTCTTGCCTGCTTTGCTGTAGTACGTGTCCCCACTCAGACACCGTATGCGCATGTTCTGAAACCAAAGAAAGCAGAGTTGGTAAGGGGACGTGTACTGAACTAAACCAAAATGTTCCCTCAGGGACTCCCTCAAACAGGAGCTCTGCTCCCAGAGGCAGAGCGCAGCAAGGCATGAAGTACTTCTTGGTTCGTACATACCAAATATTTTGTCACACTGTTTGCTTCTATCAGATAAAAATCTCAGCAAATATTAACAGGTTGCACTTAGGTACAAAAGCCAATTCCTGTGAGCCTACAGACCATTTCTGAAGTATGTAAGACTATAAAATCTCTTCCAGATTATTGATAATATTCTTTTAACTGCACAAGCTGATGGTTCTGCATTCAAACTAAACTTTGACTCATAACAAGTAGCCAGTTTCTAATCAATTGAATGTGCTGTTCTGATTTTATACAGTGACAGGCTTCTTAAAACCAAAATATTGCTCAGTAAAGAAAAGATTTACACAAAGGTATGTCTACATTTTAAGAATGACCCTTTATCACTATATTTTAAAATCATATTAACATTTTCAGCTGCCGTACTCAAGTGAAACAGATCTGATGCTCATCTGTTTTAAGGACCACAAAGAACTTCTCTGATGCTCCTGCAGCCTGTAAAACCAACTGTCCAGTACAAAATGGGAAATAAGACTCTCAGTATCCATCAGGAGCCTCTTTTGTAATGTGAGGGGTTTGCCCATAACAGAAGTTATTTGCACGTCAGCAGGGGAAGGCAGAACAGAAGAGTCACTGGAAACAGTTGCTGGCCTGGTCTATGTGACACAGTGCCAAACAAAACATCTCCTAGGCAAGCAAACACCCCTAAGGCTGCACCTCCTGCCAGATCATCAGCCCTTACTGCCCCTCCAGGCCAGCTCCCCTGCCACCTCCAGTGGCTTTGGCACACCAGGAGCTGTCACAAAGTGTCACTGCATGTGTTTCACCTGGAAGATCCCTTTGTGGGGAGCTCATCCCTGCCTAGCATCAGCCCTGCAAAAGACCAAGACCCATGGCCATTGGTATGGGCTGCAGAGGCCGCCGGGGCCATTTAGGCAGAGGTGGGTGCTGCCCGTGGCCGGTGGGTGCTTCTGGTGGAGGCGGCAGCATCACCTCCACCACACAGCAGATTTCAGCCTGGCCAGACCCAGCAGTTTGTAAACAGCCCGTGCTGCAGAGAAAAGATGAGCACCAAAAGTTGTCATTTGCCTACAGATGTTTTAAGCAGGGCACAGGCCTACGACCCTGCCACTTCTCCAGGAGCTGCTCCTGGGCTGTCCCCTCTTCTCCCTCGTACTCCTGGGCAGGCTGAGCGTGCATGGGCTGCCTGTGCACAGCCAGGGACCGGCTCTCCCGGTCTCTGGCCTCACGGGGCATTCACGGGGTGGAAGTGGTGCCTCGGGGGCGAGGAGCAGGAGGCAGTCACCTTGTGGCAGGTGACTCCATTCCTGATGGCTTTGCTCTTCTGTCAGAGTCCCTGCGGGCAGGAGATGGGCTTCCCAGAAACATCTGCTGGGGAGCTCATTGCAGCGGGGGGGGAAAGGATTGCGCTGAGGAGGTCTCCTCACCGACCCAAGGAGCACCAATCCCCTCAGGGCTTCATAACAGCAGCAAATCTCCTCCAGATCAGGGTCCATCTGACCCAACAGTCTGTGCCTTCCAGTGGGCAGCGGGGGAAGAGCAGGAAGAAGGCAATCATTTATGATGCTGCTCCCTAATATTGCTGTGATTTCCTGAGCCTTTTGTGGTTTGTCATTGTGGGAACCCCCTCTGGACCACTTCTCCGAGTACTTGTCCAGTCTTCTCTTGAGTTCATGGAAACTTTTAGCACGAACCGAGCTGGAGCTTCACAATCTTTGCACTGCAGCTCTTACTTGTTGCCTTCTTGTGTCCCAGAACATGTCCTCATCTGTCACCTATAAGAAGGGAGAAACTTTTTCCCCATGAAGGACAGTTACACATCATAACAAGTTACCCAGAGAGGTTTTGCAGTCTCCATGCTTGGAGATGTTCAAGACTAGACCAGGTAAGGCCCTGAGCAACGATGTCTGACCTCAGAGGTGATGCTGCTTTGAGCAGGAGGTTAGACTTGATGACTTCCTGAGGTCCCTGCCGATTTGCGTTAACCTGTGATACCCTGAAATGCCACCACAAGTTGCTGATATAGAGCGAGATATGCTGGATGCTTGGGCAAGTGTTCACCTAATCCCAGCGCAAATCAACACAGGGTTTTTTCTCTTCCAGTGCTGAGGTTTCGGTAATACTGGTTCTTACTGGGAGGAGCTTCCTCTCCTCCTGCCCCATTCCCCAGGGAAGCTAAAACCACTTTAAGTAAGGGATATCCCATAGATCTGTCACCACAGTGTTTCTTCACTCCCTCAATCCTTTCCAAGGCTGGGTGAGTTTCTGATATCTGGCTCATTTTTTCCATCCTCTTCTTTCTCTTGGCAATCCAGGCCCTGAATTGTCCAAACAAGATGAGAATTGCGCAGTCTTGCAGGAAAGCCAGACTGCCAGGCACCACTCTCACTTGATTTAGGCAGTAGTTTTAGGTTCAGTAGATGGCCATTTGAAAAACTCCAACAGCTAATTCTTCTGCTGTGACCACTGCCAATGCTGGATGCACCACTACGGGGTTTGCTGATGTTCAGCGCCAGGATCTGACACCAGCGGGCTCACACAATGTTCTGAGAAATAAGACGCTGGAGGGGCAATTGCCCCAAAATCCCCATTAAACCCCAAATTGTCACCAATTATTCCAAATGGAGATTTACCCTCACATCCTGTTGCAGCTCAGAGCCAGGAATGAAATATGTACACTCATTTCACATGGCTGTGAATATCAAGGATGTATGGTAATGTAGCGCTTGAGGGGCATCAGCTTAAGAAGTACTTCACATTGCCAGTGAGTCACTGAACGAGGCAGGCAAGTGTTAATTAGTCATTTAAGCACAAGACATGACATCAGGTCTAACAAAGAGACGTAGACTTCTCCATGGATGTAAACTACTCCTAATCTTAATTAAAAACAATGCCCAGGCTCTTGGATAAGAAGCAAATCAAATAAATTTTGGAGAGATGGAATTGATCTGGATTCACCAGGTGACCTGAGTGATGCACTTGTTTTTGCAAGCAAACATGCTCCAGCACGAAGCAGTTTTCCCTAACAGTTGCCGTTTCGAAAGGCAGGATGAAATGGGTCTGGCTTGGGAGAAGCATCACCAGGATGGGGGAAGAAGGAAACGTCTCTAAAATGGATCTTTGTGTAGACAGGATAAAAAAATAATTAAGACATTTGTAACTGCATCTATTTTGAATGCTGTGAAACATTATTTTTTGCATTTTCCCAAGCCTGTTTTTTAGTTAAGGATGGTTTTGAGGTAACTGGATAACTTCCAAGTGTTCCCCACCAAGATGAAGGGAAAACCTATGAAATTGGTGGCTGAAAGAAAACCAGTCCTCCAGGGAATCCCATGCACTCAGTGAAGCAGCACAGCCAGGACTGCTGGCCTTGCAGGACTAACAAGTGACAACAAAAATACCAACTTCCATTGGTGGTAGCCAGAAAAGCTATATGGGGAGCAGCAAGATTCTGGGGTACATTTCTAAGCCTGAAAGATCCCAAGAGAGCCGTGTTGCACTGACATTAATTTTATTTGCCTGCTCCGGGCACCACACAGCACTGCTGATGGGCATCCTCCATCAGGGATTCCCTTGAGTGGGGAATCAGCCTCTTCACAAATCCCTCATGAATCACAAAGCCTAAAAGCAGATCTTCACATGAGGTTTTTGACACGTGGGTTTACACTGAGGCAGCGCAGCAGGGTTGGGAGGGAATGGTAGGTTTTGCATCAGGACATCTGAAGGGACTCCCTGCTCCCCTTCCCCATCCAGCTACGGCACTACAGCAGCTCTGACCAGAATCTAAACTGAGCTCCAGGATCTGAACTATGAGCAGTTTAAGTCTTGCAATTCTATGTCCTATAGCAGGGGCTGAGAGGGGTCAAGGAAAGGAGATGATCCAGGGCCACGTGAAGTTTTCTGGTCTGCCTACCTGCACCAGCCCAGCAAAGCGTTCAGTAACACACTGTATCTTATTGGCCTTGACTTCCCATTTTCTGTGTGTAAAGCTGAAATGAGGACCACAAACCAGCTGGAAGGAGGCTTCTCCACTCCTTCCCCTGTGCTTCCAGACAGATCTTGATTTTCTAAACCAAACAGCTATGGTCTCTTAGCCCAGGACAGTGGGAGAAGGGATAGGTCCTAGGGACCAGGCAGGGGGAACATAACAAAGGGTACATGAATTTTATCAATTCCAAGACTTGTTTATCATATCCAATGTGTGACTGAAAACTTACTGGGAAGCTGTCCTGAGTAAGAGCCATTTTATTGCACATTTCCACAAAATGCTTCAAGTACTCTTCATCCAGGATCAGGTAAACAGGGACGTGACGTCTGCTTGACGCCTCCAGCAGGTCACAGAGGATTTCCATGTCTGTAAACAGATCCATCACAATTGCTATCACCTGGCCAGGAGAAAAGGGGAGGGGAAAAAACAAGAGACTGTTGAAATCTCGTGTTCAAATGAATTGTGCTTTAAACTATGAATTAAGTATTCAGACCTCTTGAGTTACTGAGCATCTGTGGCCACATGAGTGGAGGTTGCTTCTGGACCTTTGTGTTTAACAGTCCTTACCCCACCATGTTAGATGAATTATTGAATAACTGTGAAGACATTCCCCATCCAGCTACCTCCTGTCTCATCCACCTTTCACAGAGAGGAATAGCTGAAAGGGTAACGTGCACAAACTCTCAATTCCACTGATGCAACAAGTATGTATTGCCTTGAGCAACTATGACAGAAATACAGCATAGAAACAGAAGAGCTGAGACTGACCAAAACCATTATTCAGTTGGTATGGGTGACTCCACAGATGACTAACACATTAATAAAAAGAAACATCCTTTTTTTTAGGAAGGACACGCTGCCAGGTAAAGGAGAAGGCATCTTGATCAAGTATGTACATGTCCTTGTTCCCAGATCACATCCTAGGGGTGACTAGACAAAACTGTAGAATAATGTGTGTGAGAAGGATCCCTTCCCTTTCCTTGCTGGCAGCACTCCTGCTAACACAGCCCAGGATGTGAGTGATAGCTATGAAACCTAGGAGTAGGAATAAGGAATAATACTGACATTATTTTTTTAAAAAATGAAAGAAAATCTATCTCAATAAACGAAAGACTTGCAAGATAAGTAAAGCTGGGACGGGAAGCAGCAGACCATCTTAGAAGGAAAACACAGAAAATGTATTTGAAGGTTAAGTCATCACAAGTACCTGCTACAAGAGAGTTGACCCAGAACTAGAAAATTCAAAGTACAGTACAACCTGCAACCAGAACAACGTATCAAGGGAAATCAACCATAAATAGATGAGATGTGACTGGAAGCTGCTCAACTGTTCCTCACAGAGTGAGGAAAAACATCAAGGTTTGCCATCAGTTGGGTCAGGAAGGGACTGCTGGGATCCATCTGCTGGCCATCACCATTAGTGACAGGAACCAGGGGACATCCTGGAGAAGGAAGGACTGGGCAGGAGAGCACTTGCTGAGCTGGATGATTTGTCAGGCCTCACACACCTCCCTGAGGGTGCTTGCAGAGAAATCCAGTGACTTAGACCTTGAACCATGGGCAACACATTGAGGGACTGAAAAAGGTAAAGTAGTGAAGGATTTACTGACAGGCCAACTTCATTTCAAAAGCTGGAAAAATAATAGAATTACTGACCAAGCACTTTAGTCCCAGTCTTTCCCATGTCTTAGCAGTAAATAAGGTAAGTGTTGGTACTTGTAAGTTGTGTGCATAACTCTAATTTTGAGTTTCTGCACCAAGTAGAGGATGCCCAAATAAAGATGACCCAAAAAGCACCAAGTTTTGGAGTGAAGCTCCAATAGCCTACTTTACCCTGCTACTCAATGTTCATGCCCTGCACTACACCTTGCACACAAGCTCTGAAAGCAGTGAGAAGCATCTTCAACTTCTCAAATTAACGTTGCTGCTGGGCTATCAGCATTAGGTACCACTGAGACCCACACAGAAAAGCAGGAACTCACCACGTCTTTCCACAGTGGCCTTCAGCCAAAGACCAAAGGCAATTTAAGCCAAATGACTTTGATGGGCTACCCATCATCTAATGATGAAGCACCAAGAAAAACCTATAGCCCAAACCTTGTGTAAGGCCTCAGGCAAGTCCCTCTCAGCCATGCTTGCCTCACGATATTCCAGCTCATCTCAAGCTTAGGTTTGAGGCTCGGCACTAGAGACAATCTCAACTTGGCTTGGGAAGTCAACATGATGGAGTCAAGAGAGACTGATGCTCCTTTGACCCCAGAGGCCCTGCTTGCACACCAGTGTGGAGGTCCACACCATCTCGCTTTTCTCTACCAGTGCTCATAGGCTTTGGCAGAGTTCAATGCTGTTGCTTGCCCAAAAACGGCCCTGCCGGTCTGCAGCGCTCGCTGTGAGAGGGATGGTGCTGAGCAGGCACGCTGTGCATGGCACAGAGCCACCCGTGGCACCCGGCGCCTGGGCTGGATGCAGCTGGCTGTCAGGCAGGCCTGCATCTCCTGGCAGCCATGTGGCACGGCCCTGGCGTCAGCGCGGGAACAAGCGCCCCAGGCAGTGGGACATGAGCTTGTGCAAGCTGGGTGGAGCCTTGTGTGATAGTCATGTTTTCCAAAGCTGGTCTTCACTTGGCATCAGCAGGTGGAACAGGCTGTGGCCTCCTTACACGCATCCCTTCACAGGAGGGATTTGGGTAGCGTTGGGCCTGGTGGTGCTGGTAAGCACCCACAGCCGATGTTGGGCGCGAAGTCTGGCAGCCCTGTGTGCACTGCAGTTTGCAGTGAGCAGCATCACAGTGGAGAAGAGAGGGGAGGTTGTGTCCTGCCACAGCCTTGCATGGTGGAGATGCAGGCGCCCATGGTGGGGCTGCTCATTCTAAGCAAGGTGCCACAGGACAACCACAAGGGCCACTCAGATCACCATAACCTCTTGGTAAACAAAGCAGGCAGCTCCTATATCATCAGCTAAATGCAAAGCCAAGAAGTTTTGTGGGAAGAAGACCCTGGATGTGTCGCAAAAGTGAGGTCTAAAGCCTCGAAGATAAATTCCAACAGGTCTATAAAGCTGTGGAAGTTAGGTACTTAACTTCCAATTCAGACTCCTGACAACTCATGTCTGACATTTAAAAGCCTTGGGCGTTCAAGTCAATCTGGCCTTACAAACCTGAGCAACTCACGTCCAGTGCCTCCAGCCCCTCAGTTTCAGTGGTGGGAGCTGCAAGGCTGGGGCTGGCTCAGAGCATCTCTGTTCCTCACCGTGCTGATCACGGCCTCCAAGCCCGTGGCACAGCCTTGGCAGCTCAGGACATTGCAAAGATGCAGCTGCCCCACAGGCTCTAGAAAATTCACACCTGGCCATTGGAGGGTTAGCTCATGACATTTCTGAATTCACTTCTGGAAACTCACAATTCAGCAATTACTGCAGTCATCACTTTGGGAATTAGAGCACTTACCAGCACCCCACTGGGGTTGCCATCTGTCTGGTTTCTAACCAGCAGAGCTGGTTGTGCTGGTATTTGCCAATAGCAGTGTGGCTTTGGTCATTACCGTCGCGTTGCCATTTGAAGCGATACATTGCTACTCTGGGGAACCATCAGGGACCCTTCTATCATCGCACGTAAATGCAGACACACTGCCAGCGTCAGAGTTGCACAAGAGGGGCAAAAGATGAAGCACAGACAGTTCAAAATAGATTGGAGCTCAACCAACAAAAGTAAAATTGCAACAGTACTATCAAATGAGGGTTAAGGTGTGGCCGCGCCGCATCTTCTTATGTCTGCAAAGAGAAAAGCTGAAATCCTAAAATACATCTTCAAAGACAGCTGGTTAAATGCAGCAAAGTAAGAAAGAGAAACCGCACCAGCAAAAGGTACCAGTAAAACAAATGCCCTTTTTGCTGATTTGTCAGGACGAATAACGCTGTTGCAAAATATGTCAGCTGATGCTGTTCTGTATGACTGTACAGGAGAAAACAGCAAATGCTTCAAGACCCACGCCTTCCTGTCTACAGGACCCAGGAAAAGCTGAATGCATCCATGACCCATCCCTGAATGGATCTCAACATCTTTTCCACATCCCACCAGCACCATATCCCCCTTCACAGGACACAGGAGGAGAAACCTTCTAAAGGAGGGATATATGATGAAAGCTTAACGTCTAGTGCTGACAATATTTGAAATGCAGAAACAGCACCTGACAAGCAAAAAAGTAAAGGCTTCTCGGCACAGTTGCTACTGGCACTTCAAGCAAAAGATTTTTTCTACCTCTGGTTGCTCTTTTGTTTTCAAAAGACATACAGGTAGCATCTTTTTGGATGGTCTGATGAACAAAATGACTCAGTAACTACTAAAAAGTTGTGTAACTGGGGTTGTGAATGAGCTGGAACGGCCAACAATCATAGAGTTAACCATGGGAAGCACTGGCCAGAGCTGCTAACCCAGAAGCCAGTAAAACCCCAGTTATAAACCACTAAGATGGTTGAAAACTCCTTCTCACATTTCACACAACAGTCAAAAACACTGCGTGAAAACCCCCAGCTTGGACATAAAGGGCTGAAGATTGTCAGTGCTTTTTCAAGCCAAGCAAGAAAAGCAAAAAGCTCAAGTATTGTATGTACTTAACATACAATAAAGCATCGACTGCCCGGGCAACCTCCCTTCAGCAACACAGAGTTCCTCTGAACTGAGAAAGCAGCAAGGTGTTTTTCCTGTGGTTGAAAGGATCATAATATCATCAGAGATCCGGGACACGTGCTAAGTGACAAGGGGACATTTCTCAGTAGTCATTTACATTGTGCATTCTACCGTGACTGTGTCTGAATGCCCGTTGCTGAGAAGGATGCACTGAGTGTCACAAGACTTTCCCCAGATAATTTAAGGTATCATTAATCAGCTGCTGCAAGGACAAACAATGCTTTTTGTCACTTACTTCCTGGACAAAGCTTCCCGTATTTGCCTACAAAGGTGCAACAGAAGTTCAGGCATTAAGCAACGGCTGCTTACAACTGAGCAGTAGCTTACGTGGCAAAAACGGTCTTCTTTTGGACAAAAGAAAACAAGATCCTCATTTACCACACCTTACACCCAGATTTCAATGATATATGGCTCTTTGATGAAGCTGTGATGCTGCACGGCAATCTGAGTCTGCCTGGCAGCAGCTTATGTCCTCGGCACGGCTGAAATCCAGGCTTCACAATTCTTTACCTCTCACTTCCTGCACCGGGCAGTAATGAATTTAAGGAGTGATGGTAAAGTTAAATAAGAGACTACTGGAGTGATAAGAGTAATTGCCTAGAAGCTGACTGGTTAAAAGTGAACTTTGCACTACAAGTTTACTCAGTATCACCACGCTATTGTAATGAAATACTACAACAGAAAATTAACATGGGACAGATGGAAAGAACCATAAAGAGAACAAAGATAATAAAAGCTGAAAATGTGTCTGAAGCGCAGGTGTCCAAGCTGCTGCTTTAGCACACAGTACAGTGACAAAGTAAAAAAAACAAACAAGAAGGAGTATGATTTAGTGAGTAAATTCACACCAGAAGTATTGCAGTTGTCCGGTTTCTATTACATTCAAGGGCTGGCAATCTCCACCCAGCAGAAACTGCGCGATGGGGCAAAACAGGCTGATCTTACTCATCCTCAGACATCAAGTCTAGAAGATATGATGATGTATTCTAACCTACTTTAAACCACAGGCAGGGATTTTCAGTCCCACAAGTTTACTCAGGTCCTACGTTCTCCCACAGCAACTCACCAGTGGCATCCTCCTGACCTGCCTAACAGGGTCCAGGAGTTGACGAAAGCCCTGGCTCTGCCTAACAGTGTCCAGGAGTCGAGGAAAGCCCTGGCCATGCAGACTCCCTGGCAGGGAGCAGAAGGGCTGGCTGGTGCACACTTGCCAGCTGAGGACAGGTAAGCGTTAACGCTGCCCATCCAGGCTTCCTGTGCTCTGCATACCCACAAATAAAGATGCAGAGTGCCTTAAAGGGTACTGCCTGTATGACGTGAAAGAAATGACAGCAAAGGAGCAGGAACAGTTACAGATCTGCTAGAGAAAAAGCAGTCACGTCACGCCAGACACCTAGAGAGCAGCAGCAGCTTGGAGGGTGTGGTGTACAGCCACAGGACCAGCCACTGGGACTCAGGTGTGGTGGCATAAGACCCCACTTAAAGGACGCAGCTCTATACGTACCGTCCGTGCCCTGCTGATCAGAGACCGGAGCAAATCCTTAATGCTGTTAGCTTTGTTTCTTTGGAAAATCACAGTGGCTTGAGTCTCACAAGACACCGCGAGAAGCGATGTCCCTGGCCAGCCCAGCTCCAGCTCCGGAGGGTGCACATCGGACATGAGCGGAAAGTAAGTGCCAGACGTTAGTTCAGAGTAGAGGGAAGACCTGTCTCCAGCATCCGCATTGCCAGGGTCAGCCTCTTTGTCTTTCATCCCATTGGGATCTGGAAAGCTTTGGTTTCTCTGCTGGTTCATATATTCCATATCCAGGGTGGAAAGAAAAGGCAGCTCCCGCTCCTCAGCAATGGCGCTTTGGTAGCCGCGCTCGCCCTGCTCAAGAAAGGCATCGACGGCAAGCCTGGCCGTTTCGCTGTGCTGGAGCACCAGTGGGGTGGGCTCCCTCCACCACGGCTTCTTCAGCTGCTCCAGGCGGCTCTTCAGTGGCCCAGACACCCCTTGCTGGCCCCCATAGCTGCGGTGGAACGGGGGTCTCACCTCCACTGCTAGGTAGTTGAACATGACCGGAGCTGTTGATGTCAAGAAGTGCCTCTCCAGCTGGATTAGTCCTCTGTCCGACTCCAGATCTTCTCTGGCCCTCTTGCACTGCTGAGCTCCGCCCAACAGGTTCCTTCAGGACTCAGCATCAGCTTCACTCCTCCGCTTGGGAGTTAATCACCAGGTACAGCCGCCCACTCTGGGGGAGGAGCCAGCTTTCCCCAGCTCCCTCACTTGGCTTCCCCAGAAATACACCTGATACGTGGTGGTGCTTAGAGTATCCCTTTGCATGAGGTCAGCTCTTCAAGCTGCTCCTTCCCTGTCCTTGTAACTGATTCAGGTACTGCCCTCCCCTTCCCTACCGAGAGGTCCCCACCCTTGGCCAAGCAGGCTCTAACCTGTTTCGTCCCTCATTGTGCTCACAGTGGAAATGCAGATGCTGAAACTTGTTCCTGCCTGAAATTCATTCCAAATCAAACATGCTTCTCGGTGTCAGTTATAATGAAATACAAATATCCCAAGTGGGTAATCAGACTCAGTCAAGAAACTTGTTCATCCCTGAACCAGAGCTAACGCTCCTCCTTAGCCTTTCTTGGGGAGCCCGGGCTCCATCTTGTTTGAAATCCCAAGGTCACAGTGTTTGTATCAAGCACAGCA